CCGAAGACGATGCCGGGCTTGGGCGGCGACGAGGTCGCCGCCTCTGGATCTGGGTCTCTGCCGCGCTTTGGTTTCTCGGGCCTTGGCGGCGGCGCGGTGGACGTGGTGGATGCGGGCGGAATGTCCGCTTTGGGCTTTATAGACCCATATGGTGGGGGGTCGTCCAGGAGAAGCTCGTAGTATAGGCCTAGGGGCTGGGCCTGCTCATCGGCCCTAGGCTTTGCGTTGGAGAGGCTCCTCCTCGGCGCGGCTACGGTCGTCCAGCTTGGCGGGTGTGCCGATGACCGGGGTATTAGCCGGCCAGGGCTGGCGGCCTTTGATAAGGCTGTCTTGAGAACCGAAGACATGGTGCGGCTCGCGCGCAACGTTCCCACTTTGCTACCTGGACGGCATGGAGTATCGCTGAATGAACAAACTTGGCGTGTCTGTAACGGTGTAAATCAGTAAGGTGGAGGGTTCGCTGGAAGTTCTCGAAAGTCCACGTTTGAGATTGAGAAATTATTCAGAGCGCGGCAACGGTTCCCGCGCCCGCGGCACGACGTCATTTGTCGGAATTCCTAGTGAGCAAGAAGCGCTGGCGAAGTACCCATCATGTGAATGTCATGTGACTGTAAACCTACGTCTATTGCACCTATTGCTATCTCTCTCGAGAGTAGGGACTAGGGAATTAGTTAGCTGCCTTACTGCTCAGTCAAGAGAGTGTCAACAAGTTATTGCGACCTAGCTTCTGTTCTGTGTCAAAGACTTGACGCAGTGTTGCCTTTACTCGACTTGTTGTTGGTGGCAACCACCCGAGATGGCTCCACTAAAAAACAATGGCACAGCCCGTCGCAAAACACGTCTGGACCCCAGCCCGACGCGTCACAGTCGCCCTCGACAATAAGCCATCCCTGGTATTGCGAAGTCGGCCGATTCCAGCATTGGATGTGTCGCATCCATCCCTGGGTCTAGTATATGCTAGAGTCAATATGGATTCATAGCTAGACCCGGATTCTAGGACACAATGGAGACATCTGCCCCCAAGCGGCGGAAGACGTCGCCCAGCAAATCAGTACCAGTGAACAACAGCCAGAACGGCGACCACCATACCAACATCACCCCGACCGACCCCGCACCAGGCGCCTTGTCCAGGGGGGAGGGGCGCCCGTCCTTTGCCTCTCCTACCAGAGCGAGCCTTGCCAGGCACAACCCAGAGGTCCTCGATAAACGCAATGCGACCACGGCTGCTGCCGCCGCTGCTCGGGCGAGGAGGAGGGGCGCCGCCGCTGCGCCACCGGAACAGCTTGCGTCGCAGCTAGCCAGCGACGCCGGCAACGATGTGTCCGACCCGGCAGACGGCCAGCGCGAGCAGGAAGTGGACGGCAACGACGCGTCGCAAGGCGGCACCAACCAGAGGCGGCTGCCGTCACGATCCCCAGAGAGGAACATAGGCGGACCGGGCGGCCTGCTGTCGGCGATGCCCAGGAGGACACCGGTCAAGCTGCCGCCCCGACCGCTTCCTCCTCCCGGCCCCGCCGACGACGAGCCCATCAACCCA